GAGAGAGAGAGAGAGAGAGAGAGAGAGAGGGAGAGGGAGGGGGAGAGGGGGGAACTCACATCACAGTGGAGTCAGCTGTCTTAACCGTGGCTTGTGTACTGCACACATACCAGCTTCATCACTGTGTCTGTCACGCGACTCTGTTCCCCTTTTGGGCTCTGTCTTTACATTTATTTTGAAAGATGAAGCTCGCGATTATGGTAAGGGGCGTTACTTTTCCGACGAGTGCTTGCGGTGTTCGGCCAATCACAATGCACTGGGTCAGCTGGCCAATCAGAGCAGACTGCGCTTGTCAGAAGGAGGGACTTTGTAGAAAGACATACATTGTAGAGGACATACAATAATGTGCAGTATTTGAAAAATAATGTGTTTTTTGAACATTAAAGCATGTCAACATATTCTGTTACACCAAATACACAAAATAATGATCTTTAAAAAAGCATCATATGACCCCTTTAAAGCATGGGCAAAATTCCTCTTGCAGTGTTCTGTAGGCTGCTGATTTTTGCGCGTGTTATTCAGCTGCAACAGAATGCTTTGTAAAAAGACAGAATACATGTTTGACTTAATTTTTTTTATATTGGATTTTTTATCTTATTGGAATCGAAACTAGGAATCGATAAGAATCGGAATCGATAAGCAGAATCGGAATCGGAATCGAGAAAATTCAAACGATTCTCAACCCTAATGACTATAAGTACTTTATATTTAAATGACTTTTCTGTTACATTAAATCCAACTTATGTTTTTGCTGTTTAAATCATCAAATAGATTAAAAAAATTTTTTTTTTAAATGAAGTCTCTTCTGGTCACCAAGTCTGCATTTATTTGATCAAAAATATGCTAAAACTGTAATATTGCTAAATATTTTTACTATTTAAAATAACATCTTTCTATTTTAAAGTATTTTGAAATGTAATTTATTCCTGTGATGCTAAGCTGAATTCTTAGCAGCCTTCAGTGGAAACCGTGAAACACTACCAGTATTTGAATAGAATCAAATAGAATAGAATAAAAACATTAAAGCTTTTATTCATCAAGGATGCATTAAATAGATCAAAAGTGACAGTAAAGACATTTATAATGTTACAAAAGATTTCTATTTCAAATAAATGCTGTTCTTTTGAACTTTCTTCTCATCAAAGAATCCTAAAAAAATATGATGGATCACAGTTTCCACACAAATATGAAGCAGAACAACTGTTTTCAACATTTAGAATAATCAGAAATGTTTTTTGAGCAGCAAATCAGCATATTAGAATGATTTCTGAAGGATCATGTGAGACTGAAGACTGGAGTAATGATGCTCAGAAATTCAGCTTTGATCATAGCAATAAATTACATTTTATAATATATTCACATAGAAAACAGTTACTTTAAATTGTAATATTTCACTGTTTTTACTGTATTTCTGATCAAGTAAATGCAGTGTTGGTGAGCAGAAGAGACTTCTTTCAAAAACATTAAAAATATTACCCACCCCACACTTTTGAACTGTAGTGTATTTACACTATATATTACATTCATTTCATTTGTATACTTGCTACTGTCTTGTGTGAATGATATTTCCTGTGATACAGAGCCCCAGTGTCACGCGTCTGTATTCTCCGCCCTTCATCCTGGGTCGGGCGTGCAGTAAACAGTCTGAGACGGGTGACGTGTGTTCAGACGCTCCCTCACGCTGTAATGTGCTGTTCGTGGGATACTGTCTGTCACATGACCAGCGCTGGATCCTGGTGTCCTGCACAGATCAGCAGGGGGAGCTGCTGGAGACCTGCGTCATCAACATTGACGTGCCCAACAGGTGACGCCTGTTCATTTGAGTTCATCTACCTGCCATATTTTCAGTTCCAGTATAAAGAAACAGAGCATCCTCTCTTTACTCACAGAGCCCGACGGCCCAAGTTTTCTCCTCGTAAAATTGGCCTCCAGAAGTTATGGCAATGGTGCGTGGGCATTATTCAGATGACATCGCTGCCATGGAGGATCGTGATTGGCCGTTTGGGAAGACTGGGCCACGGGGAACTGAAAGGTGTGTCAGTGGGACTGATATATTTTCAACAAAGACCCTCATGAATATTTATTAATGCTCTCTCTCTCTCTCTCTCTCTCAGACTGGAGTGTGCTGCTGGGCGAGCATTCACTGCATTCTATTGGCAGTCAGCTGCGGGAGGCGTGTCTTATGTGTGGTTTGTCCACTGCTGATTCGCCCTCGATTCTCAGCGCCTGCCTGGTTTCCATGGAGCCGCAGGGATCTTTTGTGGTGATGCCAGGTGAAATGTGTAGTTCTCTGCGAGCTGCTTTTGTTCTGTGTGGTTTCAGACATCAGACACCTGCGCAAAGACTTAACAGTAATAGGGCTGCACAGCTGAATCAATGATTGAGATGATGATTATGATAAACTAATCGTGAAAAATGTTGGAAAGTGCAGCATGTTGTGTGCCAACAGTGGTGTGTGTGTGTGCAGATGCGGTTACGATGGGCTCAGTGTTCGGCCGCAGCACCGCGCTCAACCTGCAGACATCTCAGCTCAACACTCCTCAGGACGCGTCCTGCACACACATCCTGGTGTTTCCCACCTCCTCCACCACACAGGTGGCACCCAGCACTTACCCCGCCGAAGACAACCCCGGTACCACAGCACTATCACACGCACGCTACAAACATAAGACTCGCACACCCACTGCACCTACTGCAACACAACACACGTAACCGCAAATGTGTTCTCTCTGGTTAATCATTCCTGAGTGTTTCATATGAAGAGGTGCAGTATTTGAATCTGGCTGTACTTTTATCTGACTAGATATAGTATGTGCCTTCCAGAAAAATGGTCAAGAGCCGTAGAATAAATCACTCCCACATCACAGTCCTGAAATCATTCATACCACCTTAGGCTTGCACTTTATTTTTCAAGGAAGTACTCAGTAATATGAGGTTTAAGGGTAGTTTCAGGGTTAGTGCCTAGTTATTACTTAGTTATTATAATAATTACATAGTATGTACATGTGGAACGGGACTGTAAAATAAACTGCTACCTGCTTTACTTACAAAATCACAGGATCCTCTTTTAAAATAAGAGCTGTTATATTATATAGGAAAAATGAAATTTTATACACATAAAAAATAAAAGACAATTATTAAAGTGCAAAACTAATATAATCCTTTGGGTTATTTACATTAGCTGTACATTGCAGGTGCACTGCTGTAAACATGGTTTTGATTTGTTTTTAGACTCTGTGAGTGGTCACAGATGATCAATATAAAGCTGGACTTGTATTCATGTGTGTTTCATAAAATCACCAGCATGCGGCACTGTTACTCTTACAGCATAAGAGGAAACTTTACTTAACTAGGTTAAAAAAGTAAAATCTCTTTTTCCAGAAACAACAAATCAGCTAAAGACAATCACAATTACACAACAAAAGTCACACAAAACCATCACAAATTCAGAGCCGTTCACTGGAACTAAAGTCGGTCCTTTGATGAACACATATTTAATGTTCCTGTAAAATCTTCCAGGTTTTTGGGGCATTGCTTTAAATAGATGGTGTTTGAATGTCAAGTCAAATGTATTTGCATAGGAGTTTTCACACACACACACACACACACACACACACACACACACACAGGTTTGTTTTTGTGAATTGTGGGGACATCCCATAGGCGTAATGGTTTTTATACTGTACAAACTGTATGTGCTATTGCCCTACACCAACCCTACCCCTAAACCTACCCCTCAGCTATTTCAGATGTTCAATACACTCCATTCTGTGTGATTTATAAGCGTTTTGAAAAGTGGGGCCATGGGGTAATGTCCTGAAAAGTCACCTTCTCCTTGTAATACCTATGTCATACCCTTGTCATTATACAAATGTATGTCCTCATTTGTCACAAAAACGCACACACACACACATTGTTTCAAAGCAGCTTTACAGAAAAACATCATGTTAATATTTATATCATGTTAATATTCTTCATGCCTTATAATCACATTTAGCAGATTAGAGCTGGACAATAATATTAAATAATATTATAAATTACATTTTGCAACAAAATAAACAATTAAGCAGATGATATTTGCTATAGTATATATTTTGCTTAACATGAGTGAAGAAACTTTAAATAAAGAGTCCAGATGATAAATAAATATAAGGACTGTGGCGTTCATGTGATCCGCCAAAACCTGATGTCCATCTTTCTGTCCGTCCTGTAGATGACATGTTCGGTTTGCCTTTCCCCGATGAGCTGGAGAGCGACATCGGCCATGATGACATGATGCTGCTGACAGGAACGCTGCACCCGTCGCCCAACACGTCCCCCGTCCCGTCGCCCGGATCTCCATCTGGCCTGGGCTCCGGATCGCACTTCCAGCACACACGGGTGGGTCCAAACGCATGCTCTGTTCCTGTATGTCACGCAGTCGACGTGCCTGTGTGAAACGGTCCATTTGGGTGTGTTTGCAGAGTCAGGGAGAGCGCCTTCTGTCACGGGACGCTCCAGAAGAGCTGAAGCAGCAGCCGCTGGCTCTGGGATACTACGTGTCCACAGCACCGGCTGACAGCCTACCGCACTGGTTCTGGGCGTCCTGCCCACAAGCACAGCATCAGTGTCCGCTCTTCCTCAAGGTACGAGCCGCTGCGGTCATTCACTGACTCACTGACTGACAGAGAGATGTCTGTGCAACAGCACAAAGAATTACTCTCCACCTGTTTGTGTATCTGCTTCATTCATTTTCTCACAGCACGTCTGTCACTCAGTGATGGGTCAACACTGTCAAAAATGTGTTCTGTCATGTCATAAATGCCTCGAAAAACAGAACAGAGAGAACAGGAATGATGTGAACTGATTTTCAGCTGTATTTTGCATCAGTCAGACATGTATCTCCTGCAGTTTCCAGCTACTGGTTGGACCTGCTTACACTGAGAGACAAGATCGAAAGATAGCAGATGAAATATGGAAAGAGCTTCAGGACGAGCACCGACTCTGATCTGTTGCTTTTTCTAACTACATTTATATTCATGCAATTGGAAGACGCTTTTATCCAGAGAGACTTTTTATCAGTTCATGCATTTCCAGGGAATCAAACCCATGACCGTGGTGGTGCTATGTTACATCTTGTACATACACAAGATGTAACTTGTGGCACATCTCATCCTATGATCCTATGATCATTTAAGATGTGTTTGTGTCTGCAGGCATCTCTGCATCATCACATATCCATCGCTCAGACAGATGATCTGGTGTCTGGTAAGACGTCTTCAAGGGTTCACCCGCTGGACTCCAAAACCACCTCGGATGTGCTCAGGTCAGTAGTAGTGAACGATTCATTCGTTTTGAATGAATCCTTTATATGACTCAGAGTGATTCGTTTAGAGTGAAAAGTGTGATCGATGATGTTCATGAATGAAATGACTCACACGGTGAACACATCATTTCTGTTTCCTGTATACATGACTCTGCATTAATTAATTAGTTCACCTTGGTCCGAGTCGTTTGTTCTTTAGTCACGTGACAGCCACATGCTATGTACACAATATAGAAATGATTAGTTCACCCATGTCCCGATTTTGGACGCCATCAGTTTCGCAGCATCACACTAAACTGAGGACCATAAACCAGTCTGGACCATTATGAAGGTTTGCTCTGGTCTTCAGGGACTGAGGTTTGTATTGTTGTGTTTCAGGTTTGTTCTGGAGCAGTATAACGCTCTTTCCTGGCTCACCTGCAGTCCTGCTGCTCAAGACCGGCGCTCCTGCCTTCCCGTTCATTTCACCGTCCTCACGCAGATGTACAACGGCATCCTCAAGCTCCTGTAGATCTCAGACGGGACGCAGAGCCATTCCTCCAAGTACCTAATGGATTCGGGCAGCAGGTGTTTTCACAGGAGGAGCATCCAAGTCCAGTCATGAGCCCTCAGATGAGCTGCACCTCTGGACAGACTGCTAAAACAGGGAAGCGGCTGAGATGTTTGAGGATGACAGTCACAGATGCTTCCATCACTTCATGCCATAGGAATCCTACAGAGCAGGATGATGAACTGTGATTATCCATATAAAAACAGAGCTCAGCATCATCATGTTTCTGACGAGTTCTCTTAAAAAGGCACTTTCATGGTCCGACATTGAATTGAAAAACTTGATAAGTAACGTCTGACACGTGTTCAAAATGTTTATCGTGTAAAAGCAACATTTGCAGAGAATTATTTTTATGAAACGTTTGAATCAATTTAATCAAGGCCTTTTTTTCCAGAGTCAGAATGGAAGCCTTGAGATGAGGAAAAACAAACTCTAATTTTAAATGATGCCGAAATGCCATATTTATATATGAACTGTATTTCTGAATGTATAATGTTGTTGTCGACACATTATAAAACCTATATGAATAACAGTGCATTACTTTTTACTTTCTCTTATGAAATTTCTTCAATCCTTTTCTTATTTTATAACTTAACTAAAATGCAGCATAAATTATATTTATAAAGCATTTTCTGCTACATAAACTTAAATAGGCAATAGAGTTCATTCAGCATATCTCAGCATACAATTTTAACTGATATGCATTATTTGCTATTTGCTTTTTAAAGATATCAAATCGGTCCATTGACAGCGACCTGGTTGCAGAATTTGTCCTGCGATTTGTACTTTCCTGCATGTTTTGTAAATATGCTTTTCAGCAGTGCGTTTTCATATTTCTTAAAACTGTACATTTCATGTCAGTTTCATTCATTTTATTCTACATGACTCCTATGAAGTTCTTTTTTGCCTTTTTAAAAATATGAATATATACAGTACATATAAATGCATATATATAACGTTATTGAAGTACTGCCAAGATTTGACACTTACTGTACCAATGACAGCATTTGTTACTCAATCATCATTTGAAATATAAAGCTGATGTGACCCAACAGTGATTTGTATCTTTTACACATTTTTAAGTAAATGACTGACAAATGAAGATTGACCTGTTTGTGTTTTTTTTTGTTTTTTTTGTAGTCATCCCAGCAGTTTTGTGTTCACAGAATTCATTTGTTTGATCTTCTGCTCTGTTGTCTGTCACGTCTGCAGCATCTTTGAAACGTTCAGGCGTAAATATCACACAAAACATGACTAAAGTATTCGGAATTAGTTATTTTTAGCCAGAAGTTCTAAGCAGCTCTAGATCAAAAACATTACAAATGATATTTTGATGTGGGATTTCCACTGTGAGCATCACACTTCAGATCATTCTTAAATATGCTGACAAACTCATGACTTTATAGTCATGGAAAATGTTTCAAACATAACATCCCTCAATTAATTTATCCTACATAAGGTTGTGGGGATGTTGGAGCGTATCCCAGTGTACCGGTCAAAGACTGGGAAACACCCTGATCAGGTCAGTCATAACGGCTAATATGAAATTGGCGTTGTTTACACTTTCTTTAAATTGGCATTGTTACGGTATAATTACACAAATAACATTAATTACATTTACTTACTATAAGGTTAAGGTTTGGTTTAGTGTAAGTTGCTTGTAATTATGCATAACGTAATGTTATTACAATGTCATATTAAAATAAAGTGGTTCCTTTGAGATTTACACAATTTTTGTGCACATTTATATGTATATATATATATTATTTGAAAGTGTCAAATGTCTGAAAAGCTCTTTCATCTGCTTGACCACTTCTTGCATTTCCAGTTTATTTCTTAATTATTTCCGTTTGTGTTTAATCGGTGCAATTATAGCAGTTATTCTAAAATAATAATATAAATGTAATTTATATTTCATTATTTTTTTGTCAATGCTGCTATCAATGTTTTTAAAAAATGAGATCACTAAAATGTGTAGAAAAGCACGTCCAAGGTCAAAGTTCGGCATAGGAAGAAGCTGTTCAGATGTGATTCTGGTGATTGCTGATTTTTTGTTTTTTTTAATTAACATGTTTTGAGAATGACCCGTTCCAGGACTTCAGGAGTCCATCTTCCCGTTTGTCTTTGTCAGAGGAGTTACAGCAAATAAAAGAGCTCCTAAGAGGATCAAACTACACATTGGGCTGTGAAGAGCTCAAACTGATTGATTGTTGACTTGGATTATAGAGGATTACTGCTCTTAAACAGTTATTAGGTTTAAGGTCAAGAGATCAACATCTCACTGGAATTGTTTTTATGACAACAGAAATCTTGACTACGGTCACTAAACATTCAAACTTGTTTGTAATATAACTGTTTTAGAATGTGCTCAAAGATATCCATCCTTGCGTTTGATGTGAGCGATGCACATGACCTCTACGCTGCTGACAGTGCACACGACTTGATTTTAGCCATCAGTACAGATCCTGTGTTATCTGTCAAAATGACAGAAATCACTTTGAAATATTATCACTCAATGTTCCAGTTAATGAACATTTGTATTAAGGTTTATTAAGGTATTTAACATATCTGTAATATTGCTGTGGAGATAATAACATTTTGGGTGTTCTTCATGGTCTGTTGTATGTAATGTCAAATGCAGAAATGTTAATTCATGCATTCATGACCTCAAGGTTAGATTATTGTAATGCTTTATTGGGTGGTTGCTCTGAATGCTTAATAAACAAACTCCTGCTGGTCCAAAATGCAGCAGCTAGAGTTCTTACTAGAACCAGGAAGTATGACCATATTAGCCCGGTTCTGTCAACACTGCACTGGCTCCCTATAGAACATCGAATACATTTTAAAATCTTGCTTATTACTTCTAAAGCCCTGAACGGTTTACCACCTCAGTACTTGAGCGAGCTCTTATTGCATTATAGTCCTTCACGTCCGCTGCGCTCTCAAAACTCTGGCCATTTGATAATACCTAGAATATCAAAATCAACTGCGGGCGGCAGATCCTTTTCCTATTTAGCGCCCAAACTCTGGAACAATCTACCTAGTGTTGTTCGGGAGGGAGATTAACTAGGCTTCATTAATTAGGTCAACCGGAACTGGGAACACTTCCCATAACACCCGATATACGCTCTACATCGTAAGAAGAGTGGCTTCTACACTAATATTAGTCTTTCATTCTTATTCTAAAGTCACCATAGCCACACAGATCCAGTCCATATTAAGACCAGATGGTGGATCAGCACATAGAGACGACCTCTACAGACCTGAATGTCAGCAGAGACCATCGGCACAAGACCACGGGAACCAGACAAGCCTTCTGCACAATCTGACCTGTGTTGCTGCCTGGAAT